TTTTTTTTATCTCTTGTTCTGGTAGAGGTGTCTCTACTTTATTTCCAAAGCTTCTACATCTGTATTTTCTGGCAAATGTATCCAGTAGTTCACTAGAGAATAGGGCCAGTTTTCCTGAAATCGTGTAAATGGGGGGATAGGGTGGGGGTGGGGAGCCAGTTGCCTGTGGGGAAAACACAGAAAAGTGGTCCAAAAGGACCACTTAGAAGAAAGCATGTTCCCTTCCCTGAAGCACACTATTTCTTCAGCCCTTAATCAGTTCACTGCTGAGAATTTTCAGCGTTTTCTTTTTCACACAGATTTTTTTATCTGCCAGTGATGAAGACAAACATCTCATCTTAGCATAAAAAGAAATTTCACTCACTTTTGCTGCCACCTTTCTATCGCCCTAACTTTCAAAACAAAGCTCCTCCGAGAGAACGTGCTACTATCCTACACAATTCTCTTCTTCTCCACCACTTCTTTCTCAAAATTGCTTTCTCAGAGTTCATCAATATCCTCTTAATCACTGAATCCAGATAATTTCTATATATAGTTTTTTCTTGAACCTTTCTGTTCTCAGTCCTCTCCTTGGTATAACTTGATAGACACCACTTTTGATTCTGAATCGTTTCTCCCCCACCTGGGCCCCAGTGAGACCGTGTGCATCCATTAACCCCATCCCCAGACTCCTCCAGCTTTCTCAGTGAGTATTCCCCGAGAATTAGCCTTTCTTCTATCTTTTTTCCTTCGAATATTCTTCTGAGCATCTATCTACTGATGTAGTTCAATTCTCACCTGTATGATCAGCATTTCTAGGTTTACATCTTCTGCTCTAATCAGGCTACAGAGCACCAGAATGGCCCCTCAAGTACTTGGCTGAGACTCCCATATGGAATTGTAATCCTCACTTCTCACTTAACGTTGCTAACACCGAACTTATCATCTTCCCTCTAAACTTGTCTGTGTTAAAGGCTGTAATTCTTCTAGTACTCAGTTTCAAACTCCTGACCCTTCTCACTTCCTCCTCCTTTCTAATCAATAATGTCTGGCATTCTCTAGATCATTCCTTCACAGTAGTTTCTGCAACAGTCCCTATCC